CCAGAAGGCGAAAAGCAGTTGTGATCTTTGAGTTGTTGGCTGTTTCAGTTTCCCAGCAACCTGCGTGGCCATTGGCAACCCGTGCGATAACCGGTCCGATATGAATTTCGTCAACGGCAATACGGCATGGAGCAAGTGGTTAAGTGCTACGGGAGACCTAGCCACAGTCCCGACTTTCCTCCTTGCGTATCCGGGCTTGGGATGGGCAACGACTGCATTTGTTCGTTTTTATCAGCACGAAAATTGCACATAGAAGATGTGTTAACAATGAACCCTTGTTATTTGTGGCTACGATATCGTCAATATTACTTACTAATTTGTACCGAATAAACGAAAGTTTCGCTCATTAAATATATAATTTTTCAAGGCTATTAACCGTCTCGTTCTTCACCTGTTACGCTATGGATAAAAACAACAACTGAATTACATTTTATAGGCATAAGCAACAATTCAGAACGACATAAACAAATAAATTACGCTAATGAGAAGCAGACGCCTACATTTAACAGCAATTACGTACCTTCATTTTTCCTCTGGAAAGCTAGACCTGCAAAGTATAAGGATAACGATAATTTCCTGAATCAGTTACAATCATTGTCCCAATTAAAGACAGGCCTTGCATCCTACACCAATGATACCTCATGAGAGAGAGAAAAAAACAGAAGCCTAAAAGCTAAGGTACTTTAGCTAAGCAGCTAAAGCTACTGGCAGATATTGCTTTCACTGATATACCATTTTTCGCCTAAGACATGGAAAAAGGCGGAGATTGGCGCCATATCAATAGTTCTAGCAAAGATGCGGGTCTCAATTGTATCTTCTGAAAGTCTATACGAAACTGATGTTCAAATGGATAAATCCTTTCTTTCGCATTGAATGCGTATCTCAGGAATACAGGTGAATGTGAATCTCAGAACTGCAATACGTTTATTCGCTGCTGACTCGAACCGGACGCAAACTGTACAGCAGTACATTTACCCCTTCCATCGAAAGTCCCTCGAGATTCAGAAATGCATGTTAAGACCATTTCTAAAAATTTATGAAACAGAATATTTGAACTTTATTCAATAGCGTTAATTTTCGCAGCTTGTGCAATATGTCTGACAACTGAACAGCACATATTTAGAACAAAATATCGAGTTTTTCCAAAGAGCAGTGAATTCCTCATGTATTAAGAACAATGCATATTGCACAAGCTACGAAAATTTGGTTATGTGATTGATTACTCGAAAAAGTGGCTACTTAGAGAGCTATGATGAGCCGTTGAAACTTCTTAATCTTTCAATCATCACCATTTCAAGTCATCTGGAAAAGGAACTCAGGTGTTATCAATGGCAGTATTATGGCGCTGGGGGTCTCAGCGACTACATACATTCTAACTCTTGATCGTTTTCCGTTCAAAGTACGAGAACTGGCATGTCAGGAAAAAGAATGGTTGGGAGTATTCTCTTGTAGAAATTCTAAAAAGCAACAGAAAAAGAGGAAACGAGGCAGCATTAATCAAAAATCAGATGATTGAAAGAACTCATGCGCCAGTCGATCCCTGGCTATGTGAAACACGATTCTACCATTGACTTGGAAGGAAGAAAGAGGTTTCCTCACTGACTCTCTCTTAGCCAATTATTTTGACAAAGAATTGTGCTCTTAAAGGCGTTAGAGCAATTATTTTAAGAGCAATCGGTAGAGATTACCTTCAGCTGAGAAAGCACATGAGGTAGATTGCAAAAGACCGTTCCATTTTATGCTTGTCGTGTGAATGCATGATAAAATTCTGTACTTTGCTATCGCCTCGACTCCACAGAAAGAACGCTAACATTTCACTGAAATAAAAATGGAAGAAAGATTGCCAGAATACCAGCATCTGAACTCCTCAGACGATTAAGGAACGTATTCAGTGCATTATGGATGAAAATCAAAATCACTCACTGTCGTCGAAAGTTTTTGCAATGACCGGTGGTGAGCCGGGTCCAAATCCTTTGATCGTTCCAGCCGCCACCGACACCTTGTGCATGGTGTACGGTCGCAGACCACTGATGACAACGCTGCGCTGTTTTTCGGCCGCTTGCACCACCACACCGGTCTTATCGTTGTTGTCATTGTTGTCGCCGTTGTCCGATTCCGCCTCCCATATGATTTTGTAGTAGGTGATCAGGCCGTGTTGTTCGCTTTTTGGCGGTGGTTCCCACATTACCCTCAGCTCGTGAGAACTGAGCGCTTCGACAACAACGCCCTGAGGTGCTCCAGTGGGCACTAACAAAATAGTTACAAGTATATCTGTCGATGACAAGTCCAGAGTCAAGAGATTCTCTTACCCAGGGGGTTGGTCTTTTGGACGACGCTGAGGCTGGGAACACTAAGGCCGCGCAGTGATTTTGCGTACACTTGAAACGTGTAATCGGTATTAGCCTTGAGGTTGGTGACCGCGGTCTGCAGCTTCGAGCTGCTCACCTCCAACTGGGTGAAGTCGTCCGCCGTCGAGTTATACTTGATGACGTACGCCGTTAGATCGCTGGTGAACAGTGGCGCTTCCCACGATAGTAGAATCCGGTCCGCCT